AGTAAATACGTTTTCACAAATTCCAACTGCAGTTTATAAAATTCATAAGAAAACAGTTTTAAATAACAAATAACGCGGTGCTCACTTTTCCGACGTAGATGTAGGAAACAAGCGAAATATTGTTGCAGACGACCTGCCTCGCGTAAAAATGCGAAAGTCAACCTAGCAATTTTTTATCAACGCCATGCAGGGAGAGCCAAAATTGAGACTGTTATATACTATTATCGGCAAATCTCTCCGCTTTTATCGCTCCCTTCCTGCGCTCTTTCCCCTCTGCCTGCTATCGTTTATATAGCTTTCTCCTATTAAAATCCATACCAGGATTATATTGCACTATTTGTACAAATAGCGCGAAACTTTCAATCTGCATTTTCTCGGCAAAAACGTCATCGATACGCCATTCGGCTGAGAACGATTACACGACTGTGCGAGATTTTCTACAATTCCGCGACTACATTAATTTGTGTCAATTCCAACAAACTCGATTTCCGTCGGAAGTGGAAAACTAACTCGACATAAATTCAAATTTATGTTTATGTATTTGTATGGAGATCGCAATTAGAGTTCGAATCATGTTCCTTAGTCACATTTTGACTTTTAGCGGATATATTAATCTTTCTGCTTCCCTACAGAATTAGCGTTCTTTCCAGAAACGGTCATCGCAGTTAATTCCACGTGTACTTTAGTTGTATCGAATTATCCGACTTGATTATTAAATTTTTACCGATTATTAAATCAAAACCATCCGATTGAGATGAGATATTTGAACAGTAAAACAAAATTGTGGTAGTCCTGCCTATTTTCCCCCCAAAAAATTTTCGCAGCTTTTGCGACCACGTCGCACGAGTTCTCATCCACTTAAAACTTGCTAGATTTCGTAGAATTTACGGTACTGAAGGGGTTGCCTATCGAATCCGCGTGGTTAAACGTGATGCGAGGGTTTATCCAGATGTTACGAGAGCCTTAGAGCCAATAGCTCGAAATTGGCTTTGTCATGTCGGATTGTATTTCAGTTGTAATGCGGTTAATCGCTTGAATTTAGCGAAACGTGGCATTGAAATAGCCCTGAATCAGCATAAATGAATTTAGAGGGATTTGCGTCCTAATAAATAATATAATTAAACGTTATAGATTCTGTATTTGCGTCGCTAAAATTGTTCTTACTTCTGTAAGATGTAAAGAAAATAATTATTCGTTTACTAGTAAGATACGACATTTGAAGCAGCCTATAATTGATATAAAATACCTGCGAAAATCATCAACTGATCCGACGAATTTATGGGATTTAGTAGACATTCTACCTTGGCTAAAACTGGATTGTTTTCTAAATTCTAATTTTTTATTGTAAAAGTTTTATTGTAAAACGAATCTCAACGATCGGATAACAATTCGCGAAGATAAATTACGGGCACTCGCACGCGCATTAGACTCGCTAACAACGTGACCGAGTTACCCAACAATTGGCGCAATTGCTACTCGCGTTTACAACGAGCGTGGGGCATTAATTATTTTCCTAGACCCGACGTTGCAGCTTTTCGGCCGTACTCGCGAATACATATAAATCCTGCCGCGAGGGGGAAACATTGGGGAGAGCTGCGAGCGAGTTACGCCGCTGCGAAACGTAAACCGCATTTCTCTCCGAAACGGCACTGGCGCACGACACGTGTACGGGCCGGCATGTACTCCGGCTGAACGACACAAATCCTACCCACGGAGATGAGATCCGCGGAAATTGCGGGCGTTGTATTGCTTTTCGCCGCGCGATGTGCGTATTTCGTTCTTAGCCCACGTTCCTTTGTTTGCAGCGCGTGGATTTGGCATGAGGGTGGTAGGCGGCAAGACAGGGTCGGACGGGCGCACCTTCGCGTGCATCGTGTGGACCGTGCCGGGTGGCCCCGCCGAGAAAGCTGGGTTGCAACAAGGCGACAAGGTACGTTTACGTGAATTATATCCAAGCGTTTCCTACAGATTATAACTGGATTATCTTTTACACATAAATTCTAAGAATAACCTTGAAAGTTGCCGGTCGTGTCTTTCTTGCCGTTTCGAGCAAGTCTTTGCAGAAATGTTGCTGGTTATTTGCATCGGTTGCTTTTTGTACAACATATTTTTGAAGCGCTAAATATCTTCAAGTCACGCATCCCATTTACTTCGAGTATCATTGGACAGGTTGATAGACACCTTGACATTGTTAAGACAACTTGACGTTGATTTAATAAGAAGGTATCTAACAAGAGATTTGATTAATGTTCATTAATTCTTCTTGTAAGGTAAGTCCGGAAGAGTCGCGTATATTTTGGCATTTTAAAATGCTTTCTAACAGATTCTTCACTTTGATTGAAACGTTACGGAATAAATATTCAGATTGTTCACTTCCTTAAACTCGAAGCCTTGTATCTACAAACCCAGAGATAAGCAAACCCAGTGATAGTACAGGATGATAAAAAGATCGTTTTCACGACCTCTAACCCGAACGTAACGGTATAAGCCGTTGCTCGTACAAGGGAATATTTAGTGGAACAGAAAAATCGTCAAATAGTTAATAAAATATTTCGATATCAAGAACAGTAACTTCTAACCACTGCTATATGAACATTATATTTTCATTATTCAGTTATTTTACACACATTTAATGAAAGCCTGCAAAACTATTTCACTGCTCATCAAGTTGAACTGTGCAACATCTTTAACGAAAAGACAGCAAACTGTCACAATTCTACACAATAGCTGTCAGACATCAACTAACAAGACCGTGCACTGCCACTTGTTACAAATCGAGTAAATCTCTAGATTTTGCATCTCTTCGGACGCGGCATCCCTCCCAGATTTACCTTATCTTAGATCAGCTGCTTACGCAAGAATTTACAATTGTCTATTTTTATCATTTTTCCAAAGAAAAACTTTACTTCAAGTAGGTAATGTTATTAATACTTCGATCGGGTTGGACGTCCGTAGCGGAGATTACAGTATTAACTCTGCTGCTCCGCTCCGGATCATTGCGATCCGTTTTTAAAATACAACGATGCTCTGTACGCATCGTCTCTAACTCTTTGTAAATTTTATCAGCTCATGCACGGCAGCGCTATTAAACAATATAACGTAAACGCCCGAGAAAATACTACATGGAATATAGTACGGATATAGAAAATATTTTCCCACGAGATGTTTATCGTCACCCGTCGGATATTGTGAACGATAAATGCGTGTAAATATCGACATCCCTCGATGCATCCATTTTAATTAAATTTAAAGTTGAAGTACTGACAGTGCACCAAGTGAAGAGGCGCGCTCTGCTCACTTGCGTGTTCGTACTAACATCCACATTGACGAATTTCATTTAATACACTGCACATCTCGGAAGCGCATTATGCACTAATTTGTAATCAGTTTTATTATATCAACATAATTATGGAACATACTGTTTCCTAAATGCTTCAATTATTAAAATTTATTCATCAATTTCGCACATCAATTCGACATTTGTGAAACTACTGACCCTAAGCCATGCAAAATTCAAGGCGAGAATGTTCTTGGACAATGAATGATTCAAATACCACAATGCCGAGATGTCATTTAAATAAACGTTAGGCCGCGCGAAAAGGCGGGAAGTGCAGTCCCTCGGACCCTCTATCTGCCCCCTCGAGTGTCACTGCGTGCAAAGGGTCGGCACAGATAGAAAAGTACGGATGATTGATCGATCAGAGCGACGAAAAACAAGTTCTCTCGCTCCTGTTTAGCATCATTACATTTTCATAAAGATTCCCCCAACTACGATCGCTTACCGTCGATAGGCTTCTCTCTCGCGCTCAGTAATATTTAATAAGGAATACTAATGTACATACAACAGACCCGTACACAGAAAAACGGGATATTCTTTTAAATATGTTCAGTTTCAACGTGAAAATCTTGAAATGAGATTATATTCATAGCCAGACAGGAGATCATTAACAATTGTGTGAACAGATTACTTGAAAAGGGTCTAAATCTGGGACCGAAACGTTTTTTTTTTTAATAAAAACATTGGCAAGTGTAGGTCGTTTTAAAAATTACACATCATTGGTTTTGAACTACTGACGATATTAAATCTTTTTGTGTGTGATTATATTGCGTTAAAGGAAGGAAAACTTACTTGAATAAAGCAATTTTATATAATTCAATCAAGAAAAATATGTGCTTATTATTTAAGAATAATTTTCTTGAATGAAAAAGAAACAATATTGGATAGAAAATAGTTTTTAAATCGAAGATTATGATTAAAACTATTTTATCGTCAAAATAATTACAAAGATTCTTAAAGTGACAATTATAGTATTTAAATAAGACTGTAATATTGTTGGAATGTAAGATTATCAAGTGCTTCTAACAAAATTATAGATTGTTGCGTATATACAAAACAATGACGCGTTAATTTGCGTATATAAGAGTTGATCTGACACTTCGTTTCCTGTGTACTCTCGTTACCGCACTTTTTCTTCCCGGGAAGCGTAACATGCTCGCATTCATCCTGCCCACCTTTTATCGACATGTGAATAGCGGAGCCGAAATTAAGAAAATGGTGGGCAAAAATGAAAAAACGTGATCATTGAGATAAGCGCGACGTGCTTGTTATTCTAGCAGAACGAAAATCCGCGATACGGGACGCCTTCGTGCGCTCCCGCGAATTCAGTAATGCTTTGTTTAATCCGCTTACATCCCCCGTCGCTTGTAAAATCGGAACGAGCGAACTCTCCCGGCGAGAGTTCCATTCGAATGACGACCAATTCGCTACTGTCGGGCTCTGGAATAGACAGGCGTAATGCTGGAATCATACATAATTTCCGCGATTATGCCCCGTCTATATTTCTACTGTTATGTCTCGGTCACGTGGCGATCAAGTTTCTTCATTTGGAACAACAATTGTCATGTGCTCAAAAGTGATTTTGTCAATATTCCGCGCTTATCCGAGAACATTTGATTACTGCCGTTACTATTGTATTACGAATACGATACCACAGTGCGATATCAATTATTAATTTGCGTAATACCGAGAGAAAATGCCTGCTATAACGCGAGAACACTCGTGCCTGCTATAGTAGTGTAAATAAATAATACCCAATTCGATTTATCTTACATAAATAATGATTTCTCTTACAGCGCCCATGTTCGTAAAAAGAAATCTTATTAAATAACGTGCGCCTAAACGGCCCTCGTCATTTTGCGTGAACATAGATGTATAATGCAAAGAGTAAAGACGTGATTTATGAAAGTGATTTCCCGTAATAATCGTCGAAAACAGAACCGCGATATGAAACTTCGCAAAAACTCAACCTTCCCTCGCTCGATGCGCGATATAGCCAGCTTAATCTAGATTAGTTCGCTCCCGAGTAGGTACCTATTTGTCGTCACGCGTTCGAATTTATATTTAGCAGCACGTTTGCGACAGAAAAATTGATAAGTTTACCGATTTGACAATACAACATGAATACTCAATTTACTAAAACGAGAGGAAAAAAAGCTCCAAACGCGAGGTCTTTTTTCGTATTCACCTCGCAAGAGGTTTTATCGAACAATCCCGGTTCTGGGGAATGAAATCTCGTAGAATTTAAGAAAAACGGGCATCTGTCGCGGGGAGAGACACATATACATGTATACCTATAGAGCGTCATGGTTTAAAGTTATCTTTTTCGCTCGATCTTTTCTCCACGGTCTCGTTAAATCCCAAGGATAATTAAACTTCTTCCTGCCAGGCGAGACCTTTCGAAGATCAATCGCCGAGATCGCATTTCGATACCAAATTCCACGCAACTCTGTTGCCAGCAGGATTATATACTTCGACTGCTACCCTCTAAATTGCTTCAAGTCTCAACAATACTTGTGACAAGTGTCCCGATTTCATTGGCAAGAAGACGATAAGAATACGATTAGAAGTAGAACAAGTTTTGCAATTTACATATATATAACATTTTATTTGTCAAATTCAGATTCGCTGAAATAGGTTTATAAAATTTAATAGCTTTAAATTTTCATACGTTACTTTTATTATTTTAAGATTATTGTCAGTGATTTAGCTTTATAACTTGAATTTCTCTTTACGAAATTCTAAAATGTATTTTCAGCTTCAATTATTTTAACGTTGATTGTAGATAAATTTTGTAGATAAGTGTTAAACATAATACACAATGTAAGGCCCCTAATATCGCCCAGCACTCATAATACCACTCGTGATATCTCGTGAACTAAATGGTAATTGTCTACTGATATCAATCGGCAATATATAGAATTAATAGCTAAACCGTGTAGGCAAAGTCGTAGTTACAGCGCCGAAGAAATAGCGTTTCGAGAGACGCATTAAAGCAAATTTTTAGCAAACGTCTAGTCATGTTTGAACGTCTAGTTATGTTTGACTAGATGAAAGTATTTCGTGCTATCTTTGATATTATTTTAATTAGACACATTAAATAACGGCTGGCGAAAGAGAGAAGAAAAACAAAGAGAAACGGAGATAAAAAAAGTGTTCGTCTCGCCGGAGGTGCGAAGTAATTAGAAGCCCCGCGAGAGCAAAGTTCCTACTAAATCGGACCTGGAAACGGGAACGAGAACGTAATTAAATATTGATCTTTCATTTTGTATCGCGCCAGACAAAAAAATCGTAAACGGTTTTACGTTTCGCACGTTTCGAATTTAAAACGAATGTTGATCTTTCATCAATTGTTTGCAATAAAAGGACCGAGTCGAAATTAAGGAATCTGTCATAAAGTTTGATGGAACAAAAATAGAGTCCAGATTAAGCCATTATCGACGAATTGGGAATCTCGTGTTGGATTAAACGATTGTATATGATTTTCCCGAGGCAGAAAGTAGCGTCAAAATTGAGATTTAAACTTTTCCCCCTCAATCGATCCGTATCTCGTATCGGCGAAGATGCGCGCGTGTAATCTTTACTGCTCGTAA